CTTTTGATTTTGTGCTTAATTCAAAAGCTGGTAAACAGAGCAATAGTTCAAATACATTTCCCAAATGTGAAAATTAAATTATTTTTAAAAGATCCAGGCTCCAGAGTGATGTACGGGACTTCTAAGTGCTTTCTTATAACTGTGCACAGTGACTGGATGTATTAAGCTGCTGTGGTTCCTCACTGCTTTCTTTACTCCTACCAGCTCATCTGTGACTGCTACAGGTAAGTTCACTGTGTGAGTTGCCTTATCAAATGTCTCTGAGTTGCTAGGTTTAAGCTAAGATGTTCCAATAAAAGTGAAGACTGCCTCCTAGTCTTTGCGTACCCTTGATTCAGATCACATCTGCTTAGAATGAATTACCTTCACAATATTTTATTCAGAGACCTCTCCAGTTCTAGTAGAGATAGCTAAGAAACCAAGAAGCTACTTATCAAAATTTCCAGTGAGAGAAAAAGAGGAAGACTTAATTAAAGTAGATCAATTCAAGGACAGTATTTCCAACTTCATTGAGTTTCCTTAAAGGTTCAGGTAGAGATTGAGAGTAGATGGGCCATTAAAGAAGTACGGCTTTAAAAAGACAGGGGGAACTCAGATGTTTAAAGTGTTTATTATTTATTCATCAAAACTATCTTTAGGGTATGCGAGAATGGTCTACCCCTTTCTATTTAATCAGAGCTTTGGAGGAATCAAATTAAGGGAGATGACTTAGTGGTAAAATGGCTTTTTCTAGATACAAAAGAATTTTGTGCAGGTTAGGGGAAGATGGAGAGAAATGGTAGGTAGTGCATCAGATTACACTAAGAACAAAGATACAAGATGTAATGAAATAATCAAAAACTTTGAAATTTACTGTGGCAGAGACTGTTAGTTGTCTCACCAATCTACAGTCATCCATTAAAAATTTTTTATTTTAGTAATAGACCCTCCTGAGTTTCAGCTGAGTGGCTCCTCAGCTGGAGATGACATTTTCCCATCTTCTTTGCAGCTTAGGTGTGATTGCATGACTAAGTCTGGCTAATGAGCAGTATGTGGAAGTGATGTATAACTTCTGGCCATGCCCTTGAAAAGAAGCTGCTTGCTCTCCAATTTTCTCTTTCCTTCTTCCCCAAAATTGAAATGTAGTATAGTAGTAGTGGTAGTGGTTAATTTTAAACCATGTAGAGAAGGTGGTGGTTTATTTTTGACCATGCTCACTTTGACCTAGTGAGTGATGAAAAGAAAGGAGGCACCTGGATCATCCTTGTGGAACAGAACACGTGCTCACACCTCTTGTTTACAGGAGAGGTGGTTTCGCATGGTGCCTTGTTAAGCCGAGTGTGTTCTCAGATCAGCAGGAGCACCTGGGAACTTAATAGAAATGCAAAAGCTCAAGTTCTACCTCAGACCTGCTGAATTTTAATCTGCATTAAAAAAATCTTCCAACAATTTATATATACATTAGAAGTTGAGAAGCATGGGTGTAGTGGTGAAAAAACATATATTCTGGAGCCAGATCCTGAGTTCAAATCCGAATCTGTGACTTAATTAGTTGTGTCACTTTGGGCAAATTATTAGAACTTTCTGTGATTGTATTCTCATCTGTACACTGGAGATATTAATAATACTGTCTTTTTAGGGTTATTGTAAAGATTATATCTGTTAATATATGTAGATAAGTTGGTGTAGTGCTATATAAAGGCTTGCTATATTGTAAAAAACTAACTTCCATCTTGTTTAAGCTATTGGTCTCAGATAAAACTGTCAAACCAACATCTTAACAAATTCATCCACTTTAAAATAATGTTAAATAATTCCTGCTATGGGTTAGGCATTTTTCTAGGTGCTGCGGATGCATCAGTGAAGAAAACTGACAAAAATTCCACCCTTATGAAATTTATATTCTAGCAGAAGTGAGGGAGTGGCATAGAGATAGAGAGTATCAAGTTTGGGTCTTATTATCAGGTTGTGGTTTAGACTGGGTTTCCTGATAACTAGGTCAGAAAATTCAAGCACCATAAAAAGAGGAAGTGAAAAATAGATTGAAACCTCCTGGGCCCTATGAGAAAGTGGTTATTGCAAAATCTGTCCAGGGCCAGCAAAATTTTTTCATAATGGAGACACTTTGTGACCACGGGAAGTTCTATATTCCAAAGCATAGTAAGAAGACTCTCCTAAGTGTGGAGCTGGGATGTAGGTCTCCATTTAAGTTCCCTGGTCAGGCTCACCCGTTCTGAGGAGCAGGCAAAGGGCTCCTCCATTGGGCCTCTGATGAGCATCACTTCCTCTTGGAAGAGGCTTGACCATAACGGGAACCCATGCGTACAGCTTTCTGGGAAGTATCCAAATCTCATTTCTTTAAAATTGTATTGTTTTTCTTCTTAAGTTGTCAGTATTCTTTATATATTCTAGATAGTCTTTTTCACATCTGTGATTTTTCATTTTCTTAACAGTGTCTTTTGACTGGGAAATATTTCTTATTTTTATCAAATCCAACTTAACAATATATATATTTTCAGTGGCTTGGATTTTAACCTAGTGTCACAAAGATTTTTTTCCCCTAACTTTTCCTCTGGAATGTTTATAGTTTTCATTCTTATATTTAGGACCATGACACAGTTTAAGTTAATTGTTGTAAAGTATGAGGTAAGGGTCAAGGTTTATCTTTCATTCCATACAGATTTCCAGTGTCCCGCATGATTTAAAAAAAAAAAAAAGGACTATGCTTTTTCCATTGAATTGACTTGACTCCTTTGTCAACAATTGACCACAGATTGAAAGGGTTTATTTCTGGATTATTGATTTATATATATTTATTCTTATACCAATATCACAGTATTTTGATTACTGTAGTTTTATAATAAATCTGGAAATTAGATGGTTTAAGTCCTCCAAACTTGTTCTTTTTTACAAAATTGTCCTGGCTGCTCCAAGTCTCTCCATTTTATATAAATTTTAGTAATGTTGGGAAAGCAGGCATAAACATGGGCAGTTCCAGGCAAATAAGCACGAAGGATTGGAAATCATTGGTTCTGCAAATTCAACACAACTGTGCATACATCAGCCAGTAAAATAGCATTTTCTACCAAGCCTCCTCTTTCCCTTTTATTTTGGGATTCTAGAAAGTGCATTTTATGTTAGCTTCTGGTTATAAGACTATCAAAATGTTTCCCCAGGCTTTCCAATAACTTCTCTGGAAGAAGCAAGGCAAGTGGGTCTTATTTTGCACAGAATGTCCATCTACGAAAGCCTCACTCAGTGACGAAACTGCCCCTACCTCTTCCTGTGAGATGCAGGGCTGTTGTCTCTTTGTAGGGGAAGTTTTCTTTAGCCCACATCTGTGAGAAGCAAAATCTGGAACTCGTAATACACAATGATTTTGTAAGTTAACTATTAACATTTTGTAAATTAACAAACTGAAGTGCAAATAACTTACACACAAACATGGATAGTAATTCCAGGGTTTGTCTCTCTGGATTGTAAGCTCTGGAAGGACAGGGACTGTATCTGTTTATTCAGTGCACTATCTCCAGATGCCTAGAACAGCACACAACAGACCCTTAGTACATCATGAATGAGTGAATGAATGAATGAATGAATGAATTCAGCCCCTGAGTTACACAAAGCAAGTGAAGTCATTTTTACAGACACTGTTACTTCAGTTATTAAAAGAGAAGTCTCTTGTCCCCTCTCATAACCTTGCATTTATGCCCTCTGAGGCCTGACAGTCTTCACCTTTCCAAGAAAAAGAGAGGATGCTGTCATCTCTTTCTGTAGTTCAGTTAACCATCCTAAACATATGTACATTTCTAATTCTGAAAAAATTACTTCATTTCTTTGCATTTTCAATTATCCCCTATAATCAATCCTAAGATACATGTACCTTCACATTTTCAATCTCTGAAATAGAATAGCCCCACGATTAATGAATCATGGTTTAATTGGCTGTATTGTTTTCTGTGCAGTGGTACGGAAGATAATGGTGTGTCTTTATAGTTAATTGTCTCTTGGATTTAAAGAGATAAGGTTGTTCATCTGTAATATGAAGATGATAATATTCATGTTGAAGTAGTGAGAAGTTTCAGCAATGAACTTTGTTGGCTGGTAGGAATTGTGGTAGAATGAGTGAGGAGCTTGGTAAGAGTAGAAAGTCAGGTTCTTTTTGTGTGTGTGTGCTAAAGTAGTAAAGACTTTATATCAGAACAAGCAAGAGGTACAAATGTAACAGAAGATTTAATTCATTTAGTTAAATAGATTAGTTGTCCTGATGATTTTAGACTCTAGGGTCTCTCTCTGGAAAGGTCAGTTAGTTATGTAGACAAGATATTATTCAAAAAGCTTAGAGGCAATGCTTAGGACAATTACTGAATATATACATAGTAAGGGAAATAAAAGGTAGTTTTCCTATTTCCTCTCCTCAGTAAGGTATGAGATTCATTGTCGGAAAAAGTGCCTTCATATAGGAAAATCTTTATTTCCTGCCATTCTCCAGTGAAGAAAAGGTTTCAGCTCCTGGGTTGAACAAGAAAACCAAAATAGGATGGATGACACCAGTTTTACATGAATCTCGAGACTATAATCTAACTGTAGTTACCATCTTCTTTACTTTAAACAAGTTTTGCATCCTTAGTCTACACCAAACCAGTACACTGAATTTTCTTCCTTAGGAAGTTTTTGACCAAATCGGCATTAATCGCACTTTAAAATGCAAGAAAGGATAGGTAAGACTAGTGTTCACTCTGTGTGAAACATAAAATGAGCATCCCTCTAACAGCACTGGCCCAAGAGAACCTGGCTGCAGGAAAAGCGACCCCTATTAGGTGTACTAAAGGCTTAGGGAGAGTCCATTTTCCACAAAAAATCCCTGCCAAGTTCTGATTTTTAATTATACTCATATCTCAAACAGATCTTAGGTGCCTCTATTGGGCAAGGCCAGAGCACACAGACTTGTGTAAAGGGTCCAGAGGGCCAACATTGCCTAAACTAGTCAGTGAACCTCTCTACTCGTGATTTCCTGGTGTGTTTTAGGTGGCATTGACAGTGGTTAAGGAATCAAGAAGCCTGGATTTTTGAACAACTCAAACATTATGTACCTGGAAAGCAATGAGCAAAGTTCTTCTGTGGGGTAAGTGATACAAAAATAGGTAATGAGGTCCCTCCCACCAATATTGCTGCTAAGATTATTTAGTCTGACTTTAAAGTAAAGCAGTACAAAACGACTTCTTCCACACACCGGTAAGGACAAGCTTTGCAGTAATGTTTCTCAAAAGCCAATTATGCCTCCAGCCTCTGAGTTTCTGCGTGGGGAGGAAGGGGAGCTGCTGCCTGGGGCAGCTGGCCGGCACAGGTGCCACTCTTATGTCACCTGTCCCTGTGCAGCTCCAGTGTGTGGTGAGTTTCTGCCACCCGAAGGTATTGACCTCCTCGGGTAGAAGGTGCTTGCGGGGTGTTCAGTCAGCATCTCTCAGCCCTGCCTTTTTGTTCAAAACATTAAAAGCTCTTCTCGTTCTGCTTTTTAATCAGAGAATTCATGATGACATGGGCAGCTCCAGCTTTCACTGCTGGGACCCTGTCTGCACTGCCAGTGCCATAGAGTCATGTCAGGGGAGGGCATATTGACCTCTCCTTAGGCTTCCTTAGCAAAGCCCCGATACTTGTGCTCTGGAATTTCTGGCTTCTGAGGTATCTTGCCCATGATGGACGGCTGAGGAGTCCCAGCGTGGGGTCCTTCAGAGCATTACCTTGGCTGAATGCCTGGTGGCACATTCTGATGGGAAAGGACATCTTGCCTGGAGGCCCAGGAGGGTCCAGAGAATGCCCTTTGGGTTTTCTCAAAGCCATTGAAAGAGATTCAGTTACTTTATGTAGAATTCTGGAGCTGAGTCCCTGCCACCACAGTGAAATGAGGTGATGATCATGCTGACAAATATTAATGAGGAACACTGCCCAGCTGGTGCAAATTAGCAAGGCCTCCCTGCTAAACAGTCTACCAGAAGGTTCTGTTTCCCTGCCATTATGGGGCTGCCTGTGGCTCTAGGACTAAAAGACTCCTAAGACCATCTGTTGGATGTGGTGCAGTTGGACCCAAGCCATGGTGTGTTGGACACCAAACCTGTCCACTCCTCAGGCAGTGAGTGGCAAGCACTGGCCACTGTAAGTCTCAGACTCCAGCATTAATGTTGGTCTTGAAGAGCTTAGTGTCACTGAGCAAGACATAATCTCTTTGAGTCTCAGATTCCTTGTCTGAAAAATGAGGATAAAATATCTGCTTTGTCTACTTCACAGAGTTCTTAAAACATCAAACAATCCTTGTTCTTCTTTGGTTTTATGAGGCAGTGGAGGCATAAGATAGGTAAGTGTGTGAAATAAAAGAAAATGTGTGTGAAAATATTTTGTAAAATTTAAAGGGACACACAAATGTAAAAAATACTGGTTTTGACTTTTTAATAGTAAATACAGGCTAAAATGTCATAATTTTTATGTTCAATTCAAGTCAATTAACATTTTTGAGGGCCTGCTTTCATACATAACCTTTTGAGAAGGAGTGTTAAGTTATATGCATGCACCTTAAGTATCAAAAGGCAATTTTTATGTGGTTGGCTCCCTGTCTCAAAAAGCAAAGATACGTGGCAAGGAAATAGAAACCAATGTCCTGGGGTAATGTGGCTTTTTTCCCCTAAGACCCACACTTGGATTTTTGCTAATCCAGCTCTCATTGAAAATGTGTCCATATGGGGAAAAAAAGTGTGGGTCCTATAGCTCAGGGCTAGAGATCATTGGCAGAACACAGGAGGAAAATCAGTGATGGAGGGAAAGGGTAGAGGAGAAAAAGAGGGACCTGGAATTGGTCCTCCCATTGTGGCATGTAGAAAGAATGGACCAAGCTGTAAAAATGCAAAGTGGGGAGCTCAGATTCAGTCAATCCGATACCAGGTGGAGACATGCTTTAAAAAATGAGGCTGTTATCACTGAAGTTCGTTTGACAGAGCTTACGTGTAAGAGTAAGTGATGATCACTCTTGTCACAATCATAAAACAAGGTGCCAGGGTGATTTATCTATCACTGTATTCTTCTAATATATCCGAACTTTAAGAAGCATCTATAAATTTGGGTCTTACTTTAAAAAGACTTCTTATGATGTCATTGTAAATTAGCCCAGTCTCTGGCACATTCAGTAAGTAGGCATTCAATAAGTGTCTGGTAAATAAACAAAACTGAAAGAATATAGACCTACAAACAAGACTTGTTTTCAAGTTTTGAAACAAATACATTTCTTTCCTTACCCTTTCATTTTCTTAAATATGAGACTTTCAATTAAGATTCCTCCAGGTTATGTAGATAACTTGATAATAGCTGGTAGTTATTCAATGATTGTTGTGTGCCAGGCACTGTGCTAAGAAGTTTACATGATCTCAGTCAATCCTTGCAACATAAATGAGCACACAATTACCCCACTTTAAGGATGGGGAATGTCAAATTCACGGAGGCCCCGCTTAGAAAGCTTAAGTAACTTGGTAAAGGTCACCCAGCTAGTTAAGTTGAAATCAGGTTAACCAACTGCATATGGTTTTCTTTATGATTTTATTTTCACAGGGCACTAGGAAACAGATCAAGAATTATAGCCATCCTTTCCAAGTGGTTAAGGCCAGAAGAAAGTGTGTACAATGAGAGTAAGCTATTATTAAAACATGAACATTTACCTGTTGGCAGTGACCTTAAGTACAGATGGAGTGGCTAGGACAGATACTTTCAAATGCTTTTGATGGCAACCAGAGTAAGAAATGCATTTTACATCCTAACACACCAACACATGCACGTACTCTCATATACATTTGTACATCACTGAAATAAAACTCATAAGCAATGCTTATTGTTATATGTGATGTACACTAAAATTTTCAGTTCCCTTTTCTTCTCTTCCCTTCTCTTCCATTTCATTTAATTCTACTCCAGTATTTTAAATGTTGGTTGGCATGTACTTAATTGTTTTCACTATACACTAATAAATTATGATCTACAGTATGAAAACCACAAAGCTCAAAGGCAGTAAAGATGGCAGAAGGAAGATGGACTTTTGATTCAGACAGTAGTGGGGCTTGAATCCTGGGCTGCTATTACATTAACTGTATGGACTAAAGCAACAAACATCATTGAACTTTAGTTTCTCATCCATAAAATGAGGATAATAATGCCTAGCTCAAGGGGTTATTGAGAAGAGTGAGCAATGAACATAGACACCTGCTCTAGCACTTAGCATGTCTCACAGTATGGGACAGCTGTGTAATGAGGCATTTAAGAATGTGGAATGCTGGCCCTGGTACTAGCTAGTTGTGTGAGTTAGGTAAGTAATTTCTCTAACTTTCTCTCTAAGACATATAATCTCTTTTCGTTTCAGTTCAGTTGTCTGTAAAAAGTGGGATAAACAGTAGTACCTATAGATATGAGAATACATGTAAAGCCCTTAGCACACAGTCTGTTCCTTAGAAAGTACGTAATAAATTACTGGCTATATTAGCTGTCCAACAAATCTATTATTATTGCCCAGCCACTTAGGGCTAGCCTAGAAGTCCTGGACTAGGTTACAGTATCTGTTTTGATGAGACAAACTCAGGAGTGTGTGTGTGTGAAATCAGAATTGCTGTGTACTTTGCTCATCCATATTGTTGCCAAATCAAACTTGTCTGCAGCAAAGGAAATCATTTTAGTAAAGAAAGGTTAGATCCAAATTGGATTCCTTCTCCTTGTTCTTCTTTGAAAGTATTTCCACAAAATCGAATCTTTGGCTTGACATTAAAGACCTATTTTCCGTGAGTAGACTTTACCAAAAAAATACATAAGAAAAACATGACTGTGCAGAGCAGGTGGTAGGATGTGAGTTTAATTCTTTTGAGGCCAGCTAAAGAACTCTATGGTATGGCCCCCTGCCTTGCTCCTTCCCACTCTGGGTGAAGGAGCTGCTGGGCCTCCAACTGCTTTTTTACCTTCTCCTCCATCTTCTTTTAACCTGTCTTACCTCTGGGCCAGGTGTGTATGTTTAGCTCTGTGCTAAAGGGCTTTGGCTTCTGACAGACGCTCTCATCACCAGTGTGAGAGGCAAGAATGGAGGAGCTTTCAGTCCTTCCTGTGCCGGGGGTGCCAGGCTCCCTGACTGCATGGGCTTCAAGAGGCATTGCACCTACAATGCCTTACACGTGGAGGTAATGGCCTTCAGAGACTGCTTCACCAACTCCCACAACTGTGTAAGCCAGTTCTCTGTAACAGACATGAGGTAAATGGTGAACAGATGACAAAAGAAAGAACATTCAAGGCAGAGGGAACAGCATGAACAAAAACACAGAGGGGAAAAGGTATAGTAATATAATGCTTAGCTGCCGGCACACCACTGGGGCAGACTCATCAGAATGAATGCTGGCCCCAGCGCAGCCAATCAGTATGAATGCTGCCTGTCATGCTGAAACAGCTCCTCAAAGGCCCTGGCTTTGTCCCTTGTATTACTGGGTTGTGGAAACATATTGAGGAGAAGTCTGGGTAGCTCTTGAGGTGGTTAAGGGCATTTGGGGAGATCTACCAAAGATATGACTATTTACCAACTGGAACAGAAATGTTTTAATATTTTAAGAAGTTGTATTATCATAATGATACATTCCCATTGAATGCCAGCTCTGAGAAAATATGTGGGGAATGTGTGATGAAGAGAAAGTTTTTTAATGTGATGAGGACATTGTCTGATGTGGTATGTGGCTATTGTTTTAAACCCAGTTACTCAAGTCAATGAAATTGGTGAAACTGATTTAAACTGTTGTGTCTTATGTTGCCACATTCAAAATAGCTATTAAAACTGGAGAAGTGCAATTTAATCCATTATAGAAGACTAGGACCCTACACTTTCAATGAATAAGGGATCAGAAAACAGGAATTTTAGCTTCTTTCTTGCCACTGACGTGCTCTGACCGGGGCAAGTCACTTACCACAATCCATCCTCCAGGAAGCAGTGACTTGACTTGGACTGTCCTCTCTTATTTTGTGGAGATCTGGAATGCTTTTCCATTCCTTAAAACTATAGCCTTTAGGCCTTTCAACTCAGGAGTCAAGATGCATTGCACCCAAGACTCTTGCTCTGTACTTTATTGCCTCATCACCAAAATTTAGTCTGGTAATTACTTTATATGAGATGACCCATTATTGCCTTGCTGTCTCTAGATAGCACCACAGGTGTGCAGTTTATACCTACCTTTGATTGCTTGAATCACTCAGCAAATGATTTACTCGGTATTCCTTTTATATTCCGTGATATCCCCTGGTACTTAGAACTCAGTATACAGCAAGTGCCTAAGAAATACTTACATTTTTGTATATCATTTTGGTAAAATTTCCAGTTCCAAATGAAAGTTAAAGCAGGACATTGTAAACTAAAATATTTAAGGGTTTTGGATTGTATATAGCTCTGTATTATCTCTGCCTCCATTCCACTACATAAATAATTATGTATAGAGTTAGACCCCTGTGTGTGCATGCCTGTAATAGTATTTGCATGTATATACTAATGGTGTATCAGTTAACCCCTCTTGCTTCAAATGAAAAGGTAGCCTTTTCCAGGGATGAGTAAGTATGAATACAAAGAGCATTTCAGCATCCTTAAAGCCAGTAATGTCTCTTGGATAAGCTCAAGCTACTAGAAATTAGTATTTGCCACTAAAAAGAAATTCAAATCTTACACAGAAAAAAGAATAATCTGCCCTGAGATACTTTAAATATTCTTCTCATTGGAAGGTTAGAACGTTTGGGCTTAATTTGCTACATTTGAAGACCATCCACACCAATATGCCACCATTGAACTCACTGTTCTTTTGGAAAATGAGAAATACGTGTTGAACTTTGTATAGGGAAAAGTAAACAGTAAAATATTGGACTACGGTTAGCACAAACTTCTAAATCCAAACAAAAAGCAATATGCAGACTAACAAATGGTAATGTCTGAATGCAATTGCTGAGAATTTTAAATTTTGAATACAAATTCTTTCATCTCAAAAAATTGGATTAGTAGAAGAAATTACAAGTAAAAGGTGAACAGAGATGGCAAAAAAAAAAAATCTTAAGGCTTTTGAAATTACTGTGAGGCAAATTTTCCTTTTAAAGCCTAGAATATTTTCCAAAACATGATGAGGTAGGGTTTTGATCCTTTCTGCTTGTCTTGTTTTCCTATTTAGCTAATATATTTAATTGGATTTGAATATGCTTGCTGCAATCATGGGTGAAAAAAATTAGCATATACATTTAGCATGACCTTGTGACATACCCAAAGCAGAATAGAGTAAGAAGAATTTTTCTTCTCCATTCTGTCTCCCTCGAATG